TAAGTGCATCCTTCTGAACATTCATACGTTTGACATAACAACGAGGGGTAGGATAATGTATTATAGATGCAATGCGTTAGGGTGTATCCCACAAATGCAATACCAAAACAATACCACACAGGTGTTCTTTTGGTATCCAAATATCAATTATGTATTTTGCATGTAATTTTTTGGTATTATTCTTTGGTATTTTCATCATCCTCATGTATTATTCTTTTGAATTTTCATCATGCTGATCAATACCAAATTGTGGTATCTGGTCAGATTTAGGTATTTATTAGATATTTTCTCCTGCTCGGCAGACATTACATCAATTTCCCCTACATATCAGAAAGTTATTGGCTTCAAAATCAATTAATAATCCATTGCCTTGAAGTTTAATCAACACTGATCTTCAGCAAAGTTGAACAACATTTCCGCAAATCATTATCGGAAAGTGCTAAGATGTTACGAACAAAAAGTTTGTTATCCCCATAATTCGCATATAAACTTCAAAGGACCAGTGCATCCAAATAAACTTAAATATTGGGAGAATTATCATGACCTGATTTAGAATCGATTGAGCGTGGGGGCTCAAAATATATATGTTCACCCACCCTAATGTCCATACATAATTCATAATTCTGCCAATAGATGGCAACACTGCTCGAGATAAATCAAAAAGAGCGGTAATGACTTCGAATGTTCAGCAACATTGGAATATGTGTCAGTGTGGATGGGTTGCCGTGAATGACTCTAAATTCTACCACTGCTCCAGCAGAATCAATTAAAGCTCAATATCTCGGTTTCGTTTCAAGATACCGAATTCGAATGTTGAGCAAAGTTGTAGAATGTGTCAAAAGCCAGCCACTGTTGCCATGAATGGCAAGCAATTCTGCAGGTAGATGGTAACACTGTTCGAGTAGAATTAAATAGAGCTCAATTGTTCGGTATCGTGTCAAATGTTCCGCAAAATTGAAATTTGCTTACAATTATGTTTGATTCTTCATCAGAGGATGTTAGTGGAGACTGCATGAACCGAGGATGCGATATACCGAGCTGCGGTCCAATGCAAGAAAATGGAGAAAGAAAAATGTGGAGTGTAGGGTAGAGAACTACTTCGGCCTAATCGCCCATTTTGGGCCTATCGAGCAGAAAACTTCAAATAAATCCATGATTTCAGAGTTGACAAGTCAATTATGCTTTTGGTACGATACTTTAGTTAATAAGCTACGGAACAAAGTCAATGAGAACGCGTGATATGAAGGTTTGCACACATTATTTCCAAAACCAAAAGAAGCGATCTGACCGAATCAATTTTTATCTTTATCCGATAGGCCGAAGTGAATTCATTGGCGTTTCAATGCGTTAGGCCGAGTTTAGAATCCGTAGGCCGAGTTTGGCATCAAGAAGCAGTGTTAGACTTTTGACAATATCTCAACGATTGGTTTCTCATTATCAAATCTTACGGTGCGTACGGAAAGGTAAATAAATTTGGAAGCCATCAGTAATAACAACATTCCCAGTCAACATTTTGGTCCGTATAGTTCCGGATATACACAGTGATATACTAACCAAACAAATCGTATAATATGCGCAGATTTGCTTTATACGTTCCAAAGTGGAGGCCATATATATACATACAATACAGGCTTTCCAATAACGATTTTTCCGATTTCAATATGACAGAAATACGATCATCCATATAAAAAAAGCAATTCCTGCAGCTAGCCTCCATAGGTCTACTTTTGTATCCAGAAACCAGAACTGAATCCACTACACCATATAAGCACTTGTAAATAAGAGGTTTATATCATTGATAAATTATACGTTTCGAAAAGCCTACTTGGACTTGGAAAGATTTTGATGTTGATGAAAAGCATCAGAATAACGATTGGATCTGGAGTTTGTTTAGATTCCACGGGACCTTCACACACATCCTATGACATCTGTTAATTTACAAACAGTCCCTTAGTTTTATTGCAAGCAATAGGGAGGTTAAGCAAAGACCAGTTGAGAAAATCGCATTTGGATCGTAATTTTGCATTAATTTCAACTTGAACTGCAACAAGATGGAATGCTCTTATAGTCTTATGGGTCTTATCTTCAAGCAAACTCAAATGCGATCTAGTGTGTACATTCTTATGCTACCTTTGGTTATCTGGGGAAGCGGTGTACGAGTTAATTGATTCTTAATTTTCATCGATTTGATCAAATATAATTTACGATCTAATCTATAAAAACCATTTCAGTTTCAAAAACTTCATCCGAGTTTATTTGTGATACGGTACGATACAAAAATCAATCCTCGCCAATAGGTTGAAACTTTGCATTCTTTTCGACTTAACTTAAACATTATACGGTGGATCTCATTGTTGTATGCGATGTTGACTTTATCAGTAGCAATTAACGATTCTATTTGTGAACTGGTATACGACTTCTGGTTATCTGGGTTCCGTTTGGTGCTAAACTGCGCTAGATTGAGAAAGACTAAGTGCGGGTTATGCTTAATAAGCCGGAAATGGGGTAGTTAACCCTATTAGTTAGTGAAATTAATCATGTCGAAAAAAAGTGCCAGGGGAGGGGACTCGAACCACGAACGTTGTTATTATCAGGTCCGTGCTTTCTCTACTGCTCTCTTTTTGCTTCGGGATATGGATAGGTTAAGAGCAAAGAAGAAGTGCTCATTTCCTCGCATACTCAACTTCGTTTGCTTTTCTGCTGGAGAGAATCGAGGCAAGTGTGTGCGTCGTTCTACAATGTTATACATAACAATCAAGGCAAATGCTTGCTTGTGTAGGTGAAAGCATATAAAGAACACGGATTAAAAAAGATTAAAAATCATTGCATCGTCGGCAAGGTCAACTTCTAACATTCGCTGCGATGTTCATGAACAGAGGATGATAGGAAATGGAACGAACATTCATTGCAATAAATTTTTGGTTTGCGTGTACCGACGCCAGAGAGGCAGCTCCCACACCTGGACCATACCTATCGACTCATCAACTCATGGACCAGGAACCAACGGCTTAACTTTCTTTCCGAAGGGAGGCGCGATCAGAGATTTTATGCCTCATAAAAATCATGGCGATTGAATCCAGGTCTTTTGGGGTGAGAGGCAATCACGCTTACCAGTCAAGATTGTCCATCCATAATTGTCATCACTGATTACAAATGCTACCGCGAGATGCCTACATTGTTCGAGTTACTAAAATAGAGAAGAAACACATCACAGAAAGGTTCGAAATCACTTCGATGAATACCTACTAAATCTCTTTGTGAACATTCTGACTTTGAAAACAACTGAATCACCTTAGAAATGTTCCGATTTACTACGGAAAGTACTGATTAATGCCAAAAAGTTTAGGAATCACTTTGGAAGGTACTGAATTATTCCAGAAAGTTTGCTATCAATTCCGCAAGTACTAAATCACTTCATTAAAGTTTGGGATCACTGAACCAGTTAGAAAAAGTTCGAAGTCACTGCCGAAAGCACTGATTCGTTTGCTTATGATTTGATTCAGTAATTTCGAATTTGATATATCAGTGCCAACATTTCAAAGGGGCGTAATTGCATTTGTAAACAATGGCTTTAGCCGTCGATTTCTCGCGGATAAAAGCTCCAAAGTGATAACTAAATTTTCTGTAATTATTCAGTACTATCTAAATCCGGCCTGCCCATCCTAGAGACCACGTCTGGCCCGCGGGGCGCACGTTGGTCAGCGCTGATCTAAATTATTTAGTACTATATAAAGTGATTCCGAAATTTTCGGAAGTGATTCAGTAGTTTATGAAGCGGTTTCAAACTGTGGTATTCCATTTAAGTGTTATTATGGAAGAACTCTCTCTACAATGTCGCATTTATGGTCATTGTAGACAGCTTTAGTCCGGGAGTTAGAAGGTGATAGCTCTATTGCAGATCCAGCAACCCATTTCAGAATGTCTGGAGAGTCACGCCCATTCCGAGGTTACTTTCACTTACAATAAGCCCCGCATGTATGCATCACCGTTATCAAATGGATATTGGTGATACATACACACTTAAAAAAAGAAAATATTCTTTTCAACCCTGGCATGTATTTAGTTTAATTTTGATATTTAATTTGTAAACAAAAATTTGGACAGCTCTCACCATATTCTGCTCTTCCGCCGCCGTTAATTGCTTCCTTTGGAATCCCTTTGGGCTTTTTCTCTAACGCTTCGTATTTCATTCCGTGCTTCACCGGCAATTTCCTTCCGTAGATCGTCCTTGGTTGGTTGGTTCTAATATGATTCCGCCTTTTTTGGTCGGTTTGATGTCCACCAAATGTTATTGAATTGCCATGGTGATCTGGGACGAGGCTCACGTCCAAAGTCGCTGGTCCACCGAGCGCTCCGTGTGCGAAAGGAGAATGAAAGAAACACGAAAGCGAACAGTTTCAAGAAGTGACAGTTTCATCAGATTCCCCAACTAACCATATTCAAGCAAAGTAAGAATATACAAGCTATATTGCGACTATATGGTTACTTAGGTACTCATATGGCCGTCAGAATGGTTCATCGGTTGCGAAGTGAAGTATTTCTGAAAGTGATGCGTAATATTTCTCAATGTTTTGATTTTATCCTAACGTTACCTCAATGTTATATCACATTTTATATATATTAACTAGACACAACACATTGAACATTTATTATTGTAAACCCTACCGCCATCTGTCGAATATACTTTGATGGGCAATACACTCAATAGATGGTTGTTAAGAGATGAACTAGCCTATGGCTAAAAATCTCTGTAATATAGAAAAAATAAAAAAAAATAAAAAATAGATGGTTGAAGTGTGTAAACGTTAAACGCTAGGGAATTGATCATGTGCACCACTAGTGGCGGTACTACCAACTAAGAAACATTTAAATTGACCTTTAAAAAGGATTATGATGAACGTTTTAGGAGTGTTATGTCTGCTTGTCTGTGATCATACCTTCACTATCGCAACTTCGGGTAATCGGGTAATCAGGCACTTTTGATCCAACTGCAATTAAAGGGCGAACACGAAATTATTGCGACACATTCAACAGGGCATAACTTTTTTACCATTGGGTAAAAATCAACCAAATTTTGCACACTTTCTCATTGATGTGTATTGTGTACATGCTGTCAAACTCGAAGTCGTGTCTTTCGATTCAACGAAAATGGAGGTGAACCAACGCGAGTTGAGAGAACAAATTCTTTCCAAACACCTGGAATTTCCTGACCTGTCGCACCGGCAGTTGGGAAAAATGTTGAACATTCACCATTCAACCGTCTCCAGAGTGTTGAAGCGGTTCCAGGAGCGGTTGACGTTGGACCACGGCAAAGGAGCTGGAAGAAAACCGGGACCGGAGAACAAAAAGACGGAGGGAAAGGTGAAGCGGATGATTAAAGCAAATCCCAACGTCTCAAGCCGTGATTTGGCTAAAAAGATCGGCATCTCGGAGAGCTACGTCCAGAATGCAAAGAAGAGAGCTGGACTACATACATACAAGGTACAGAACTTCCTAAACCGCGATGAGCGGCAACAATCGACGGCTAAAACTCGGGCACGGAAGCTCTACGAGAAGATGCTGACAAAATATGGCTGCTGTGTGATGGACGACGAAACGTATATAAAAGCCGATTTTAAGCAAAATCCGGGGTTGGAGTTTTTCACCGGCAAGAGCAAGTTCGATGTGGACGACAAATTTAAGAAGAAGAAAATGTCGAAGTTCACCTCCAAATATCTCATTTGGCAGGCCATCTGCTCTTGCGGACTGAGGAGTGAGCCTTTCGTGACAAAGGGCACAGTAAATAGCGAGATCTACAAATCTGAGTGCCTCGAGAAGCGCCTTTTGCCATTCTTGCAGCAGCACGACGAAGCTCCGCTATTTTGGCCAGATTTGGCATCATGCCACTATTCTAAAAGTGTCCTGGAGTGGTATGAGGCCAATTCTGTCCATTTTGTTCCAAAGGACATGAATCCGCCAAACTGTCCGGAGCTGCGCCCGGTGGAGCAGTACTGTGCAATAATGAAGCGGGAACTTCGGAAGAGCAAGAAGACAGTCAAAGACGAGAAGGACATGTTAAGAAAATGGAAAAAAAAACTGAGAAACTGGTACCGGATGACACTGTAAAGACTTTGATGGAGGGCATCAAGGGAAAATGCGTTCAATTTTACACTCAAGGCTCCATCGATTAACTTTTCTTTTGATTTTTGAAGTAAATATATGTATAAAACTACCCTAAAATTTTGGTTTGATTCTAAACATTATAAGAAAATTGGCATGACATTTTCGGTGTCGCAATAATTTCGTGTTCGCCCTTTACTCTCTCATACTCGAAATTGAGCCAAGACCAAATTGGCACAACGACGCCCTATACGCTCTCTGACCGAAGCGCAGGGAGTTTCTGAAGCGGTTTCAAACTTTACCAAAATGATTAAGTTCTTTCCGAAGTGAACTTGCAGAAGTGATGACACCCAATTCTATATCCGCGTGATTTTTTTGTTTGGCCTCTATTTTTTTTAATATTGCACTAATTGCAGGGTGACCACTGGAAATAGGGAAAACCGGGAAACGCCCGTGAATTTTGATGCCACATCGGGAAAAATAAAGTTTTTGCACCAATTTCAAGACCCTTGGACTGGATTTTCAGGATACAGTCATTTTGATGAACTAAATATTAAGAGAATTTTAAAGAGATTTTCGAAAAATCAGGAGACATCAGCAATGTTCTTGATAGCAAAATTCAAAGAGATTTTAATAGCAGCGCCGGTGGCGTGGTGGTAAGCGTGACTTCGTTTCACCCCAGCAGGCCTGGGTTCAATCCCAGTTGGCGCCGTCGCGATGTTCTGATGCATAACATCTCTGACCACGCCTTCCTTCGGAAGAGAAGTAAAGCCGTTGGTTCCCGGTTCATGAGTTTATGTGTCGATAAGTAAAGTCCAGACGTGTGAGCTGCCACCCTGGCGTCGGTAGCATTGGTGCTCAGCATGGAAAACAAGATCGACGATCAAAGGATAAAAAAAAACGATTACTTACGACAACACACTGATGAGGCAATGAAATCTTACCCCCAAGCTCCTCCCCTGATCCTTTCCTTCAACAATGTACCTCTCTAACCTCGGGTAAGCCGCGAGTATTCGGTCCAACTCCTACTAGACATAGACATGAATTTTGTTACAAACAAAGAAAAATGAACTATCGGCTCCGTAAAGCTAACGTGATTGAGCCTTCCAAATAAATGAACTAGTTAAAAAAAAGAGATTTTAATAACTCTTAGAGGGATTTCACTAAAACTCCAAGTCAATGGTGTGTGTTCAGAGTAGAATCTTAAGATTGTTCTGTGGAAAATTGCATGAAGATTGTGAAGATGATTCCAGGTCCATTTCTTATGAATATTTCAAATAAGTTATGAGAAGAATTTTAAAAGAATAGTGATGACCACTCCAAGGAAATTCTGGTTATATTGAATTACATTAAAATATAGTTCATGTTAATTTTATAGAGAGTTATATGATAATCCAATTATAAATACCTAGGGGGTGAAATCTTGCAGCAATTTTGAGAAGAGTTTCAAGGGCGTATCGTGAAGAATTTTTAGAGGATTCGAAGTTAATTTAGAGGAGAGCTCCAGGATAATTATGACCAGAATTGCAAGACAATTTAGAGGTGAACTGCATGGAAATTCTAAGGAGGATTCAGGCTGATTTTAAGCAATTATAAAAGGAAGCTTCAATGAATTTAGTCGAAGCGAACCTTAGGATGAATTCCTCAACATTTCCGGATTGTTCTGAAATGTTATAGAGAAAAATGTGGAAAGGACTTTCATAGAGAATCTCAAATTTATTTTAGAGAAACTCTGAAAATAATTATGTGAGAGGAAATCATTCTAAAGGAAATTTGATAATATTTCATAACAATCCTGTACAGAGTTCTGAGTGAACTTTTTCAAGGTAGTTAAAACAGTGAGTGGTGTTTACTTCCACCTAATATTATAAATTAACAATATGGTTCACTCTTCTATTATCTCCAAGAAACGATTTTCCTAACACTAGCGGACGTGAAAGGTGACTAGTACACTGTCAATTAAGCGTAACAAGGCTATCAAAAACAACTCACAGTTGAGTAAAATTTTACTCACACGGTAAGAAAAAAATTCCAAAAATTATATCTCAAGTTGCGCCGGGATACGACACCAGCATCTGAGAGATAATTTGCTCTACCGACGTTTAAATGCATGGCGTACATTTGGCTTGTGTGCCTTAGCACATGTTGCTGGGGGGGTACCTTGTTTGGTAATCTATTACCCAAATTTGGGTTTACGATTCTTAGTGTGTTGAAAGTTTTCTTCCTGTCAGTTGCCAATGTGGTATGTAAAGAGGCATGGCAGATGCAATCTTCATTTTTTTTTACTTGTTTGGTTCACCGCTAAGCTAATTGTACATTCAAACTATAGCAGATGTCACGTTATCTAGGCACTTTTGATATCGTATTATATTACGTTATTACGTTATTAATATAAACTATAGTCTGAACGTAGTACAATGCCATGACGTCAGGGTAGGCGTGTAACATGCATGAGAAAGCTAATACTATTTGCAACACCTTTTATTTGACTAAACTTATGAATTGATTACACGCTTAAATAATAAGGCCACTAATGTTTTTAGTCACCTTTCTCACCGGGAGAGGGTATTACTTATGCTTCTTTTCAGAAACATAAGGGAATTCTGGAAGTGAACCATATTGTTAATTTATAATATTTGCTTCCACACAACCGCTGTTTGTCAAGCTGATCCACTCATTACACCGTCCGCTGCGAGAAAATTTCTCTGCACGACGACAGAGAGAGAGAGAGTAAAAAATTTCACCTTTTACCGCTGGCGATGATGTTGCTACTGAAAAATTTGAAAAGTATTTAGTTCAGCAAATTCGTAGAGGTATTTTCTATCGATTAGGGTCTTTGGATTTTAATTTAATCTATTAATGGCAAAGTTATACGCGTTAAAAACCTAACATCACCTGACGGTCGCAATTTTAGATTTTCGATTTACCCCCTTTACCTAGTAGTCTACGTCAAAAAAACAATAAATCTAACTTTTGATTTTAATTGATCTAATCGTTGATTGATCTAAATGTTTAATCATATAAAGTTCCTAGTCTTATCAGGCCTGTTTTAGAGAATGACCACCTTGGTTGGAAAATTGGAAAAAGGAGACTACTTATAACTACTATTTACAGCTACAACTAACCTACCACTACTATATACAAATTGCTTATCAAAGCATGTTAAGATGGGTTGCGTTTCTGCATAAACTTAGTCTAATGTCAGCAATTTAAAATCTAATTTAGGAACACTCGCCTGTAGGTGAAGATTGGAAATTCTTGTGTCGAAAGGACGATCAAGAACCATCTTCAGCATTATATTCTGAGTGACCTGGATTTTGTTCCTGTGAGTCTGTGCACATGATTCCCACACCGGAGCTGCGGAGAGGATCGCAGGTGCTATGATTTGATTGTAGACAGCCAATTTGTTCACCCTTGAGAGGCGAAATCTGCGAAAAATCAGCGTTTTTGGAGCTAATTATTCATGGAGTCACCATGAGTAACCACCATGACAGACCTGCTTTTATGTCTCTGAACTTTCCTTCTAATGTCTCAATTTTTTGAGCTGTTAGACATTGCGTTCAGTTTCATATAAGGTCCAAAGGCAATGACAGCGGAAGTGGAACGGCAGCGGCAGCGAAAAAGCCCGATCTGAATAAGCCTACTTGTCGGATTGAAAACTAGTTAGAATCAAATCGACTTCGGTTAGGCATCTTGATGTCATTTTTGACAACTGTCAAACTTTCCGTTTCCGCTCCGCTTCCTCCACATTTCGTTTGGGCCTTTACTGTGTCTTCAGAGCTGTCAACTGCACTTGCTCTCGATGCACTCGTACAATTTGCTTGTACGATCCACTGATTTTACCCTCGAGGTGTAAGCCCACCCTCAGTTTGCCATTATAATAATCTCATCTCTTTTTTTTCTTGAGTTTATAATACTTCCAACACCCGTGACACATCGAAGCCCATTGGAGGGTGCTGCTCTGGTCCTGTGTAAAATTTATAATTTCAAATCTGATCACCAAATGTCCCTAGAAGTAAGCAAATCATCCTTTCGACGTCCTTCACAATTACAGATCCCATCATCGACGACTGGTTCTTGATGAGCTCCCCGCTTCCCGTGCTATCGATCGCAGCCTGTTATCTCCTCTTCGTGCTCCAGTACGGCCCCCGATGGATGGAAAATCGTAAGCCCTTCGTGCTGAAACACACTCTCATCGTGTACAATGCGGCCCAGGTTCTCTTTTCGACGATGCTCTGCGTGCAGCCGTTCTTCATCGGAGGTATCAATCGGGCGCTGTACGTCACCTGCAATGCTAACGCATCCGTGGACCGTGATCTTCAGCTGACGGTGAGCGAGACGCCTTCAACCCCTTCAAGTTATAATTGAGTGAGGCCCGTGGTGAATAATTAGATTATTATTGCTATTATTTGCGCCACTGACGTAACGAGCTCATCACGCGTCCGAAACCTTGATTGCCCCCCCGAGCAAGTAAGCAAGCAAAAGCAAGCAAGAAATCCATCCACCTGTTCATCGACACTCCATGATGGTTGGTGTTTTGAAATTAGCACCACCAGATTGAAAGAGGCGCTTTTTGCCGGCCCAAGGTCAAGATAATTAAAGAGTCGACTCTGTGGAACCATCTGGTAGCATCCGAAACTCATCAGACCACAGAACACAGTAGTGACATATCCGTCGGCGATCTCCGGGAGCCAAATTGGTTTTGTTTTGTTTGCTTCGTACAGTTCAATAATGATGATTCTCGCGAAATTATTCCATTTCTGGGATTTCCCTGAGTGCGATTTAATTATATTTTCTTCTTATCCCTCGCTTGTTTACCGCAGATTTGGAATGGAACCTGGTGGTATATGGTGCTGAAACATGTCGAGCTACTGGATACGGTGTTCTTTGTGCTACGCAAGAAGCAGAACCAGGTGTCATTCTTGCACGTCTACCACCACACCATTATGGCCGTGTTCACCTGGGGCTATCTGAAGTATTTGCCAGGTATGGAAGCGGACAGATGGCGCGCATAATCCGTGAAATTTAATTTACACTCTCCCAAATCCGCAGGCGTCCAAGGAGCTTTTCTCGGAATCCTGAACTCGTTCGTGCACATTATCATGTACACGTACTACCTGATAGCGGCCATGGGACCGCAGTATCACAAGTACCTCTGGTGGAAGAAGTACATGACGACGATTCAGTTGACGCAGTTTGGCATCATGCTCGTCTACCTGTTTCTCATCATCAGCCTCCAGTGCAGCGTGCCCCGATCGCTGACCTTCTTCTTCGTGATCAACGTTACGATATTCCTGTTCCTGTTTTGGAACTTTTATCGAAAGGCCTACACCAAGGAGGAACGGGGCCAGAAGGACGAGAAGAAGCTGCAGTGAGGTTGAGAAATAAATTTCTGTTGTTGTTATTATTATGAGATGCTTTCTGTGGTTTTATTTGCCTTGGCTTGCTGACATTAATATGCGCGGTTTAATTTATAGACCATAATCCTCATGGTCATCAGAAGATATTTAATGGATTATATCATATTTGCCTAAGGGGCTGTTCATTAACTAGGTTTTTTTGGGAATCTTGAACTTCCCACCTCTCCCTGCGTAGATAATTGTCCATGCACAATTTTTAAAGTTTGTATGACCGTGGATAAATGCCAACCCCTCCCCTCTAAACTGTCTACAGTTCAGTTAACAGTCCCTAACTTGCTGGTGAGCAGTTCCTGTTAAAACAACGAAGCAAATATTGAATTTTTTAAACGACCTACTCCGTTTTGCACGAATCTTGGCGAAATTATTTGCTATGGGCCTTCTTGCCAAATTTCCATATTGGCATTTTTCATAAAATTGCAGCATGGAAACGGCATTTTTAATCAAAATGACGTAGGAGGTAAATTTGTAGAGAAAAATAATGTCTTTCTGGAAAAATGACCTAAACATGTGTTTTATTAAAGTTAATAAAAATTCTAAACAAATAATGAAAATCAGTATTTCAAAATGCCTGTCCGATTTTTGATTTTTAACGTAGGACTACGTCTGTGATTTCTTTATAAGGGTACACTTTGTAAAAAACCGAAAATGGAACATGTAACACAATTATGAAAGATTTTGAACGTTGATAACTCAACTGCCCGTGGATCAATTTCAACAATTTTATCACCAATCGAATAGATATATTTCTGCGCATCTGTTAAATTTAAGAATTTATCATTTTTCAAAATGTCACTATTGAAAATTGCACGAATGTGCAACCGTCAATATGATAATTAAAATTATCACCGATTGCTTGCGGAAAGCGATTTCCCTAAAACAGATTTCAAAGTTGAATTCCATCTGGTCTCACCAAACGGTGTATATTCAATCACCGCGTGGTGAGTGGTGATGTTTTCCAGTACACAACGAAAGGCTGCCTGCAGGCAGCGAGCTGCAGCCCACATGAGCATGCATATAAGGAGGAGGAAGCCGCACCGCTATTGATCGGAATCAGTAGCTCTTCGTGAGTCATTGTGGGCCATCTATGTCAAGCGCGTCATACTAAAGAGTATAAACAGAGAGAACCCCGCTCAAATTTTTATTCCTTCACATAACACAAGCTCCTGCTTCAGTTAACAAATAAGATTTATTATATAAGGCCACGACCACGACCAAGAAGTCACCTGTGCGTGCAACCCCATAGGGCTGTCCCTTGTAGTTTTATTTTTAATGCTTATAAAACATTCAAACTTTTTAACTATTCAAAACCATGGACATTCGAAGACCGATCGTAGAACATGAACTTTTGATAACATTTTTGATCTTTTTGTTAGTTCGCTTTCTTTCTTAAATGTCACAAGAATTATTTTCTTGCATGAATAAACGTTTCAGAAATGTTCGACCAAAAGTTCTTGTTCTACGAATTTTGTCAATTTTTAGGTGTCCATAGTTTTAGACATCCCAAAAGTTTTAATTTTCCATGAGATTAGGAAGGACATTTTGATATGTTAGGATTTTTAGCATTAAAACAATATATTTGAAATTAGGTGATCACTGACACCAATGATCGTGTTTGTGTTGTAAACTGAAGAAAGATGGCAAATGCATTCTCTCATTTCGTTGAGAATTTCAGCACCGGTCTGCTGACAAATGCTGCATTATGCCTGAACGGAGACAGGACTGTTCCCTGGATGGAGGCTGATGAAGGCAATGAGGGTATTTGTTAGTATTAGTAACCAAAAAGTGGTAAACAATCGGTGATGACGAAAAACTCCCAAAAAAATTATGTAAAAAAGTGGAGTTTGACGTCACTTCACAAACATTATGACATATTTTGCACTACACTAACACTATTTTACGATCATTTCCCCATCTGTTGAAACCTCATTGTGATTAAGGCTTTATTTTCCCGGTGAGTTCCTTCTGATTTGATTGGTTGTTCATAGTTCCTTTTTCGGCGTTTTCCAAGCTGACTGTGATGTTTTGAGTGTGCGTGTGTGTGTTTGCAAAAGCCGACGGGTGCAGTTTGAGGTGAAGTATCATTTCCGCTCTCCCTCCCCCTTTTTTCCCTTGACTTGTTTTCCGTCGATCTTGTATTCCGTGCTGAGGACCAATGCTACCGACGCCAGGGAGGCAGCTCCCACACCTGGACCCTATGGAGACCTATCGTCCCATCAACTCATGAACCGGGGACCAACGGCTTTCCTTCCCTTCCGAAGGAAGGCGTGATCAGAAATGTTATGCCACAGAACATCCCGGCGGTGCCGACTGGGAATGAACACCCAGGCCTGCTGGGGTGAATCTCTTCCCTCCCCTACCAGCAGTGCAATGTTGTGGTGGTTGATCGGATATTAGTGTGGTAGGGAAGGTGGTTGTGAGAGCTGCAGTGGTGTTGTGTGAAGGTGGTGCATAGTCGATAGTTTTAGCCGGCGCCAGTGGTGTAGTGGTAAGCGTGACTGCTTTCTCAACCCAATGGGTCTGGGTTCAATCCCAGCCGAGGTCGGTGGAATTTTTCTGAGGCATATACATTTCTGGTCACGTCTGCCTTCGGAAGGGGGGAAGTAAAGCCGGTTGGTCCCGGACCATGTATGTTTGAATGTGGGCGATATCCTATGGAGGTGTGGAAGCTGCCTTCCTGCACATTCGATTGCCGTCAATGGTGATTGGCACTATATTGCGGAACAGAGACCGACGTTAAATCAAGAGCAAATTTTCATTATGCCGTAAGTAACATTCGATCCGAGAAAAATAAAGTTTTGTTTTGATGACCGAAAAGTTATTCCTATTTCCAATTAAACACATATAATCTCATAGTGATAGCAATGTTTAACATATTCAGCCGGGTTTTAAAGAGATGAACTAGCCTAAGGCTAAAAATCTCTTAAATAAAGAAATAAAAAAAAAAAAAAAAAGCCGGGGTTTAATCATACAAAGGCAAATCGCTAGCTTTCATGCTAAGAAATACTGGTTTTTGAGTCAAAAGTTATTATACGTCGTTTGGTGGCCCCTATTGTTACTTAAGTCAAAGTGTATTTACCAGGATATTCGGGAGAATTATCAATTACGTCTCCTTACGTGCAGCCCATTCATCATTTTAGGACCACCGAAATCATCTTAGTAACAAACAGTTCGATTTATTCACTTTAATAATGAGAAAGCGAAACGACGAAAGTACACTTTTCACGGGTTTCCCAGTGCTGTTACTTAAGGCAAACGGCATCTCCATAGAAATCGGATGACTTAAGTAACATCGAAAACTATTTTGATCGGAAGGTGATTACGTCAAAAAGCAATTCGACTGGTAAATAAATTTAAAAATGGGATGTGATCCTATATTCGGACAGTATATAGTGTAATAGGAGGAGCATCGATTGACACTGATAGCTCGACTTTGTTTACCTTTGTTACATTCGACGTAATGAAAATTTGCTCTTGAAATAAAGGAAAGGGAGGATAGTGTTTCATGTGTGAGTTATCTCTAGATAGAGCTGGAATTAGGGCGTAACAGCTTTTGTAAACAATGACTTCTTTCGAGGATTTCTCGAAAGTCATGGCTCTCCGTGACAAATCTACATCACCATCGAGTAGGGGAAGACTTCCCCTACTCGATGGATATGTTGGTTTGTGTAGGCGTGCCTTGAATTCCTAGAAATCGATAAGAGAAGTCATTGTTTACAAAGGCTGAAACGCCCTACTTCCAGCTAGATCTACTTGCATGGTTCATTCTCTCAACTGATTGGAATTCACTTTACCTCGACATAGCCTGCTTCGCAGCTGTGGGAGGCTTCTCTTTTTTACTTCTCTACATGTTCACCTCCACCCAACTCTTCGTTCACTAGATAGTGGCGCTGCTTGGCCCGAATGAAAATAATAATAATATGATAATATTGTCTCACGGTGTTGGCTTGGTCTGTGCGCCTCGTGCTTTATCGGATGTTTAACTGAACTGCTCCACTATAGGTCTTTGAAACCCGCCATCTTGGGGAGGGACTTGATGATGCGAATTTCAGGGTTTTGCGTGGCGGGGTGTTGCCGGAGGTTTTGAAATGCTTATGGTTTTCAGATGGAGTACTTTAAATAAATTTGAGTATTACTGTCAGGCAGGAAGGGTCGAAATCAATCTATTTGGACCACTATCATCAAATATTTTGAAAAGCTTCGAATATTTTATATAGTACATACGTGAATTGAGTGGCCCTTGACTTTTCTTCCCCGGTTGATTAATTGAGAGATTGGAAGATTTTGTTTTTGGGAAACAGGGGCGTTTTAGAATTGCTACGCCTTACCGTGCAGAGTTTTGAGGTCTGCATCATCAATCACACATCAATACTAAGTGTCCTGTTTTTCGTGGGGGTCACATTAGGAACCTTAAATACTTTTGCATTGATTTGGGTTTGATAGCTTAATATGAGGCAAATGTTTGTTTTATGGTATCATAAGATAACACTCGAGCCCCAATTATGCCCTAATTTTACTGTGGAATTGAATGAGAAGGCCTAATTAAATTCCCATTGGGGTCGATCTCGGCGTAGTGGTTAACATCGATACCTCTCACGCCAAAGTCACGAGTTCAACTCTCACCCCCGGACAAGTCACGAATGACCCTAGAGTGTTAAAGTGACCATAATAAAAAAAAAAAAAATCCCATTGAAATTGCTTTATATCTTCCGATTATTTTCGTATTTTACTCCGAATGACGTGGTTTATGTTTTTGCAAGAGAAGTAACAATTCAAGTTGAACTATAAGAACAGATGCTGATTATTGGTTGATTTCAGGTGTACAAACTGATTAACACCAGGTTGAATATATAGTGGATTAGTGGTGCATAAAACGAATTGTATCTCCATAATTCAACTTCATTAAATTAGCTGAACTAAAGACTGAACAAGGGGGCACATTGCACATCTCGAAATGAAAGACATTTTGTACGAACGCTTGTATGAA